CGGTTTCCTATTGGCTAGATTGGTTTAATCTAAATTTCAAAAAACAAATTTAAAATTGCGAAAAGGCAACAAAAATTGACTTTGGCACTAAAAGGTTTTGTGAGAATAGAAGATGATTGTATTCATACTTTCAGTATTACTCGGGTATTACAGTATCTCAAAATTTTATGTATTATTAATCCCAAAATTTCAATAAAAATGACATTTATAATTTAGTAACATTCTGGTGGGATAGGTATTTCCATTTTATATAATAGGATTTTTTCTCCCACAATGCATTGCGCGTACATGCTCAGTAGCTCGTACAAGATTTGAAATTTATCTCAAAGTGCTTTTAAGACATGGCTTTTGTCAAACTACAACAAAATTTACAGCTCCCAAAAAAATGATTCTGGTCTGATATTTGCCTGATTATTGTAAAAATACAAAACAAAAAAAGAAAAAATAGTGTGTCACAACACCAAAAAAATATGTTTACTCTTCAAAAATGTCATGATTCTATACTGCGAGGTCACTGACCTGTATACTGCGAGGTCACTGACCTATTGACCACCATAATTTTCCTGCTAAAATATTGACAAAACATTCTGCACAAATTTGTCCTTATATTTTCAACAAACTTGCAACTTATTTTATTGCGTAATAAATAATGACAAAAATCAAGATGTTAGCCAGCCCCTCACCCCCCCACTCTCAAAAAACAAACAAACAAAAATTGTACCATTATTTGCTTCTCTTGTATTGTAAATTTGGAATAAAATATTTACTTCTATTGACATTAGAGGGCAGTATTCATTGCTGCGCTCTGTTTGATACTATAAAATACTTTATTTTCGCTTGGAATTTATTTTTCGCTATTTTCGCTGAAGGAATGATTCAGTGAAAATAAAATCCAGCGAATATACCTTTTTTTCCTATGTTTCACATTTCAACTTGTCAAAAATCAGTAAAAATAAATTCAAAACAAAACACCCAAAAAGCCTTTTCAGCGAAAATTAATTCCAGCTAAAATAAAGTATACTACAGTAGACAGATTGCAGCCAAAAACAGTAAAAAATCTAAAAAAAATCTACAAAACAATCTTCCCAGTGAAATTAATGTAAAGTCTAACAATACACATAAACACATGCATTAATAATAAAGCAATAAGATGCAAGATACAACCACCTCCAGTGGCAAGTACTGTAAAATATTTTATTTTCGCTTGGGATTAATTTTTGCTATTTTTGCTGAAGGAATGATTCAGTGAAAATCAAATCAAGTGAATATACCTTTTTTCCTATATTTTACATTCAACTTTTCAGAAATCAGTGAAAATAAATTCCATACAAAACACTCAAAAAGTCGTTTCAGCGAAAATTAAGTCTAGCTACAATAAAGTATTCTACGTTACGCGATATGTGTTACACATATAGATATACACAAAGAATGTAAAATACATTCTTTGTTTGAAATGCAAACATGCCTGCACAATGACCACCAAAACCGAAAAATCAGTGACAAATAAACAAAAATAACAATAAAAAAAATATACGAATTAAAAAAAAATAGATCCTATATCTATATTAGATTTTAAAGCGGGAGGGTCGTCACCTTCGCACACGAGCGAATTGAGTTCCAAGTGACGATAACAACACACAAAGGCTCATGGGTAGACGCTTGTTTGTAAACAATGCTTTAATCAGATTGCTATTATGCTATGACTGTGAACAAATTTTTAGTTGAGTATGTGATCCTGGTGTATATATAGTGCCCCCCCTCACCACTAATGGTCTATCCCTTATTAATATTATTATGTTCTAGATCAGTGCTCTCAATAATCTATATTTCTTTCATGTATAGATGTTGGTGGCGGTTACAACTCATCACTATTGGAGACGATTCGTAACACTGTGATGGCGTCCAAGGCATTATCTTTTCAGAAAAGCCAAGACTACGAAAGTGTTACATTGGAAGAAGCGTTCATGTTGGCCACGCTGGGTGGCAGCCAGGGTAAGCTCATTGCGATGTTAGAATTTAAACTGAATTTAAAAAAATGTTCACATGCATTAATAAAACTCACTTTTGATATGCACTGTTCTTGTAGCATGCTCATCGTATTTGTGCTCTTAGAAGTGCATACACTTTGATAAATCAGAGTTTTTTTTGGTTAAAATGAGTCGTTTCAAAGCTTTATAAGATGAGGTTATGCAAGCAATGTGATATGGCATGAAGATCTCACGAGAATTGAAGAAGTCACGCAAATTGTGAGATGATCACAACATCCCACAAACAGACATTTTTAAAAATACTAATGTAAGTGAATGATACAGTGAAAGAACTACTTTGTGTACTCTTGGCGCAACATAGGCATTCCCTTCATCTTTATAAATATTTTTAAATTTCATAATTCAAACTGAAACAAGAGGTTTCTCTTGGCTGATTGAATAACACTGGACTGTTATCAAATATTGTTGTGCACTATGCTCGTTGACTGGTTGGTTGGATTCAACTGCTATTGAAATTTATGAATATTTATAAAGATAAAGGAAAAGCATTTGTAGTACTGAGAGTACATCTTGAGATGTTTCTGCTCAATGTCCCAGCTTTTATGGTATTGTATGTGTTAAATTAAAGTCATCTTTTTTCAATTCTAGTTCTAGGAATTGACAATAAGATCGGTAACTTTGAACCAGGTAAAGAGCTTGACGCACTTTTGATTGACGTCAATACGAAACACAGTGTCATCGATGTCTTCAAGGAAGTAGATGAATGCCCACCTACAGCAGAGGTACGAGTCGTTTGTATAAACACATTGCAAACTTGCATAAGAGGTAGACCATTAGAAACTGGGGGGGGGGTGTCATCAATTTTACAGTAAACAATAATCTAGTACAAATTATTTTGTTATTACCTCCTCCTGAAATTAGAAATTCTGACGTCAACTCCCCATAATTATCCAAGAATGGTTTTCAGAAAAAATAAACTTGACTTGTTTCATTAAATTGGATATATATGATATGAAAATTAGGAATACATGCCATCATGTCAAATTCATGGATGTGATTGGATACACCTCTGAAACATACAGGAAAGACTTATTCGATGATATACCGATAGCAATTATGGACATAAAACAAAATGATTGGATGTCAAATTACATTACACTCACTGAACAGGATCTGCAAGTATAATGGAGTAGTTATGGCTGAGTGACCCTTGTCTGGCGAAGGCATGGTGATCATAAATGTGTCAATGTCTTATCTCACTTTTGTAAATTCAGTTTCAAATACAAACTAAAAGTGTTTGAAACATACTGCTCTATTTACCGCCAGATGAATAATAATATGAGGTTATTACGAGGATACCTCAAAGTATGCACCAAGACAGTACAGCGAGAGTATCGACCAACACGCAGCAGAGGTCGATGTGATAGTGTACTGTCTGAGCGCATACTTTAGGTATCCTCGTAGTAACCTTATTATTATGCATCTTTTCTGTCCAAGCATACATCATGGGAATGCAGGAATCCAAAAAGTTTAGAAAAGAATCAGCGAACTCTTGTGTGTGGAGTCCTGTCAAACCCTGGTGGCAGTCATGTTTGTTTTTATTATTAGAGGACACTTACGCATGTAATTATTCCATACTTGGAATTTGCATTTCCTTATATGGTAGGATGAGAAAACCCCGTAAAATACCGCAAAATTATGACACGCTATAACTTATGGTATTACCATGACAGATGTATAATAATATTTATTATTTCAATATTTATTATATTTTGCAGGATACAGTATGCAAATTTCTTCTCACTGGTAAGTTTGTCAATATTAATTGACGTGCATATGTAATCAGATTCATTTGGTTTTTCTGTGCTGTGTACCTTGCCAACTATTCCATGCCAATAGGGGAAGTTTTGGGATAATTTTGTAGTAGACTTGAAATTATAATGAATTTCATGGCAAAAGAATGAGAATTCACCAAAATATGATGATATGATCACATAAGATAATACATTCTAGGACAAACATTAGAATATGAATGATAACAAGGTGACCTCTGACCTTGTGATAGATCATACTTCTGTATTTCATACTTTTTCTGGGAATTTAGAGGACTTAGCATGCGCATATTCTCCTAAAATGAGCTCTATGCGCATTTAAATAACGTAAAAGACTATCAATAAAAATCACAAGAACTAGAAGAAGAAAAACACTCCTTTTACCATTCCTAAATCATCAAACCACAATAATATAACTGTTTTTAATGTACACCTGTTCTTAAGAGAGTAATTTCAATCAAGAAAAAATATTTAGCAGAGAGTTTTAGACAAAGACACTTTCATAAAAATGTTATCATCGCAAATACCCTCAGCATATAAAAATGATTTCACTATTAGTGAAAAATGTTAAGTACCGGTAGAGCAAATGAAGGCACTTGTTCAGATTTTGCATACATGCACTGTGACGAATCATTCACATCCAAAGGTAAATGATGGTGTTTGCTTTTCTTGTACATATGCATGAATGTGTTCCTATTTTTTTTTTTGTTAAATATTTTTTGTGCCAGGCAACAGTTTCAAACATTGAATGTCACTGTTGTCTCTCCTGACTTTTTTTTCTATGTACAAATTGCAAGTGCTAGTGCTGACACATATTGATAGTGCATTTTTGCCACAGAAGTTATATTCACGTTTGGGAATACATGACAGGGCTGTGCAGCAATTTAATGCGCTATCCTGGCGTCAACCAGGCTCGGTCGAACACTATCACCTGCAGACCTTAACCAAGGTTCCCCCAAAGTCACATTCATCAGTGAATGAATCTCTTAGCTTTCCATTAAGTCTGTGGAACACTCACCTTGGGTAGGGGGTCAACCTTTTTGACGTTTAGCCTAGCATTTGGACTTTGGTTTGCCAATCACAAGTCTGATGTAACAACCACTATGCTGCCAGGGATGGCAATGTGTTCCTATTAATAAAACAACTTACGGCAATGTTATCACAGCAGAATGCGATCCAGGGCCAATCAGTAAACTGCATTCGTTATCAGACATGAAAACTTAGACCTGTACATATTTAGAACAGCATATTCCATTACATACTCTCTGTGGGAAGTGCTGCTAGTCAACACAGACGTTTCTTAATCTTTACCCATTTTATTTGCAGGGGACGATCGCAACATTGTACAAGTCATCGTCGCCGGCAAAGCAATCATTGACAAGCAATCAATGTACACACCTCAAGAACTGCTGCAGGACATCAAACACAAGTTACCAACTCCCCTCAGTAAATAAGCCAAACACCCCTCTCAAAAAATGAAATAACCTGAATTTAAATACTAACATATTTAGAACTAAGTAACTTTTTTCATTACTATTCATTTCTGTGATATTAGATAAGCTAGATTCAAGATTAAGTAATTTAGAAAGTATATTTAATTATACTAGATTACATTAGATCTAATACATTGATAACCATAGCTAGCCAGTATAATAGGTACTGTGGAATACTTTATTTTAGTTGGAATTAATTTTCGCTGAAAAAACTTTATGGGTGTTTTGTATGGAATTTATTTTCACTGATTTTTAATGAGTTGAATGTAAAATATAGGAAAAAAAGTATATTTGCTGGATTTTATTTTCCTTCAGCGAAAATAGCGAAAATAAATTCCAAGCGGAAATAAAGTATTTTACAGTAATTGTAGTTCTTGGTAATTTTTTAGTCCTAGCAGCTTTCACCAATTTTGAGACACCCATAGGCTGTATACTGCCCTCAACCTATGGACTCAGGGTTCCTGCAGCCATTACGAGAATTTTTAATACCATTTTAATGCCAATGAAATTACTATTTAGAATCCGGAAAGTGTAATTCAAGGGGCATTTAGAGACCTGTGAAATTCAAAAGCAGGTGAAGACCTCCCAAGAAATGGGGCTTTTGATACCAATTACTAGTAGCAGTTTCATTCGTTGTTACCTTAATTATGATGAAATAAAAATACAAGTCTCGAGCAAATTTCCAGGGGATGTCAAATACATTGTATTGATCAATTTTGCCACTTTATGTAAAGTATGTCCTGTTTAACCTTTTGTGTGGCAACATTTTTTTTTTTATGTATTTTTCAATATTTATTTCAAATAACTTGGACCAAATGAACATAATTGGCTTCAAGTCTTTATCAAAATTTTGGTAAAATTATAAAAAAAAAGTGGGTTTAATAAAATTTGTGACAATGGTTGACATTGGCGCTCAAAAGGTTAAAGACCTACACATACTAAACAAATGCTCCAAACACATTAAAAATTATGTACAACATAGAAAACAAGTTTTATTTTCTTCTCTATGAACAGAGAATTTCAAAAACAAATTTTAATGATTAACATTAAAAACATCTTGTGAAAATTTAATAAAAAATCTTCAAAAATATAACATTACAGCAAGGTTTATAGCTTTGGGAGTAAATGTTTTTTTCACATTTATGTAGCACACTCACCCAAAATTCTGTTATAGATGTTGTGGTCCTATTGTTATGTAGGTGCAGACTATTCCACTTTGTGCATAACAGGGGTGGTGGGTATATTTAAATGAATAATAAAATTTATAATTCTAAACTTTTGTTTCTTGGAATGTTTTTGTATATCACACAATACATTAGAATGAATTTATTTTTTTTATCAATTTCTCATGAACTAACTCTCTCCCTCTGAATGCCATTATCATTTCCGCCAAAATGTTGGTTCTTTATTATGGACCAAATATATAATGCCCACAGGTCTTGATAACAATTTATTTGAAATGGTGACAAAATAGGTATAGAAAGGCAGGCTGTGCAGAAACCCCACAAGAGGCTGTAATTCACTGCAATGGTATGACAAAGCCGAGCTTCACAGCAACCAGGGGGTAAGACACAGAAAAAACATACTGTATATCGCCAGAGGTACATTACTTGGGGTTTGCAACGCACATATTACTGTATGGTGACATCATGTCAAGATCCCATTCAAGTCTCATCTCGTAGATAGCGAGACTGATGCTACGACCTTCTGACATGACATAGGTGGTTTGTAATAAAACAATAAAACGTGTACTACCACGTTCATAGTGAAAAAATGTAATACATCGAAAATGTACAGAAAATATAGTTATCGTAATCCGTCATATCGTGAGCAGCTATTTTGATCCACCTGGACATCCCAGTATCCTAGTTACCTCGGGCATGCGCATTCGCATTTTTCTGAGTTGGGACGCTTATGCGAGAGCAAGATTGAAACGGGATCTTGGTATCATGTCACCGTAGTTGCAAACCCCAAGTAATGCACCTCTGATACCGCTTAACTTTTCCAACAAATTCACAAAATATTCATGTTTATAGTCAGCACTTTCCTTCAGAGAATTGAGTCAAAAATAGACAAATTTGTTGAGAACAAACTAAAAATTGACTCAAATTGTGTCTGTTACCCCCCGGTAGCTTCACGATTCAGGTTCATTTCCAGAAACATTGAAGAATATAAGAAAAAAAAAAGGGGGAGACAAAGTTGGGCGAGAAAGTCTGATGGTGAAAAGGTTAAATTTCAAGAAAGAACATTTTTTTAAATGTTTCACAAGTTGGTCAAAATCATGGAATTTTGTAGCATTGAAAAGTTTTCTGGAATCCAAAGATTGAGAGTGTCAGAAACTTTTGTGAAATTTTACTTTTAAGTTTTTTTTAAGTCTTTTTTTATCAAATCGTGATAGTTCCAAGCAGTGAAAGTGATGCGGTTTACAACTTGAATATTCAGAACGATAGAAGATCAGATATCTTGAAAAATGAATAAATATGAGCTTATAAAAGTCCAGTTTTGGAAATGAAATGAAAATTAGTTGTTTTTTAAAGTTTTAATAGTCATCACATTGTGTTTGGTGTGGGTCCCATGCAACAAACACAGTACGGTCCAAGCGTAATTTAACATTTAGTTAGCTTTGAACTGGCTTAAAGGTGAGCTCAGCATGTTCTTAACCTTTTTTCTCACCCAAATTTTTTCTGCCCTTTTTTTTTCTTCAATATTTCTTGAAATGAACGCTAATTTTGAAGCCAACATTTGAGTCAATTTTCAGTTTTTATTCAGAAAATTTTGTATTTTGTTCCAATCTTTTGCAGGAAAGTGCAGACTATAAACAAGACTATTTTGTGAATTTGTGATGAAAAGAAGGTTAAAAGCACTAATTATTGTGCAGAATAATCTACTGTAGAATACTTTATTTTCGCTTGGAATTTTTTTTCGCTATTTTCGGCATTAATAATACAGCAATAAGATGCAAGATACAACCACCTCCAGTGGCAAGTACCGTAAAATACTTTATTTTCGCTTGGGATTAATTTTTGCTATTTTTGCTGAAGGAATGATTCCGTGAAAATAAAATCCAGCGAATATGCTTTTTTTCCTATATTTCACATTAAACTCATCAAAAAACAGTGAAAATAAATTCCATACGAAACGCTCAAAAAGTCTTTTCAGCGAAAATTAATTCCAGCAAAAATAAAGTATTCCACAGTATCTAAATATGTGTCATATTAGTAAATAAGGTAAACACTATAAAACATAAATTGAAATTATTGCTGATAATGATACTCACTTTAAAAGTGAGAATTTTTATGTAAAAGTCAAATTCAGCTGACAGCCATCTTGGAAGTTACGCCTAGACTGTACTGAACAATGAGGACTGAATAAAATGTCTGTTTACTACTGTGAAATACTTTATTTTCGATTTTTTCGCTGAAGGAATGATTCAGTGAAAATAAAATATAGCGAATATACCTTTTTTCTCTATATTTAAATTCAACTAGTCAAAAATCAGTGAAAATAAATTCCATACAAAACACCTAAAAGGTCTTTTCAGCGAAAATTAATTCCAGCGAAAATAAAGTATTTTTCAGTATATAAATTTTTAACATGCACTACACGACAACTGAGGCACTTCAAAATGTCACGACAAGCGATTCACGTGAAAAATGTTCAAGACTAAACAGTAGAAAAAATTGAGAATACATTAACCATATTATGATGATATGATTGCAGTAGAAAATATATTACAGCATATGAACAATGAGAATGTGACCTCTGACCTTTTTTGATAGATTTCATATTTTAGATTTCAGTTTATCAAAGCTAATATGATATAAAGTTTTCCAATGACCAATTTGATATCATGACACCCCTATAACCATAAATGGTGTAACCCATTAATAGAAAATAACATTGGGTTATACCAATCAGTGAATAAGCAGTGGGGTAGGTGGGTTAAAATTGACTCGTAATCTGACCATATCTTTATGGTACAGTCCAAGTATAACTTACTGCAAAAGTATATAATTTCTACTGGTATTTAATTCCACTATTTTGATATTATTTACAGCATATCACTTGGTTATAAAATCATGAATATGCATGAGAATTAATGAGTTCTATTGTAAGTCTACATATTGCTATTGATTTATTTTAGCAGGTTTCACTTCTCAGTGAAAATAGCGAAAAAAAAACCTAGCAAAAAATTAATGCCTTTACAGTAACTTCTAGGCTACACTCTGA